TCTAATTATAGCAAGCATGACATCATCTTGCCGCCCCAAAGTGCATGCGTATGTGTGTATACTGCGAAATTTAGGAAAAGGACAGAGAAGCTATACCACAAGTGAAAGGGGAGGCAAAGGGAGCAAATGAAGGTGCTTTTGGATGTGAGCGTGGCCACCTTTGATTCCTAGTACGGCACGTACAGGCGCTTGTGAGGGGTATGGGATGAGACCGTCCACGGTGACAACCCCAGGTGAACCCACGCCCACAGACTGGGGGGTGCTCAGAGGTCCCTCGAGATCTCAAACCTCGTTCCCGGAGGTAAAACAGGCGACAGCCACCTTGTCAGCGGCAGGAAAAGTCCTAGCTGGGGCTAGGCAAGAACAGCCAACGAGCCCCCCCAATAGGGCTTTTGCCCTTTTGTGTGACCTGTCACGCAACGTCACGCGTGACAGTAACGTAACCCAGTCACGCAAGGTCACGCGTGAAGGTAACGCGGTGTAACACAATCATCTGTTTTTAATANGGGCTTTTGCCCTTTTGTGTGACCTGTCACGCAACGTCACGCGTGACAGTAACGTAACCCAGTCACGCAAGGTCACGCGTGAAGGTAACGCGGTGTAACACAATCATCTGTTTTTTATAAGACTAAGAGAGTTTTGTGTTTTTTCGCTCAAAATTTAGTTCAAATTTGTGTTTTACTCCGCAAGTTTTTTTCTATATTCTTCCCGAACCTGGTTTCTTATTTTTTCAATATCTGGCTGGATTGGATTTGTTTGTATTTGCACAAAGTTTGAGCCAAAGTCTCTTTAAGTTGGCGATATTTCTGCATTATACGTGTGATCAGTTGAAACTCCGTGTCAGAAACCCGATTATCATGCAGGGCTTGTGAGACAGAGCAGTTTATCGAGTCACGTTTTGCAATAGCCAGAGAATTGATTCTCGAGTGCTTATTAGCTTTGCGTTCAAACTTCTTGTTGACGACGGACAGGCCAGTGGAAACTGCGGCAGATAAAGCTGCTATCCCGGCAACAGGCGTGCCGATAACAATTCCAACACCAGTGAGTGATGTTGCAACAGCCCAAGAAGACAGAGCTGCCGTGACAGCGCCAAGGCCAACCACGGAATAGTGAAGCGCTTTCCGGGCTTTTTTATATTTTTTCAACACAAGCCTGTAATGCTCAACCTCAGCAGATATTTCTTTTTCAATTTCACTTATTTCAGTTAGGCAGAAATTCTCGGCATTTGTCATTTCGGGAAGGCTTGGATAGATTCTTCTTTCATTCTTGGCAGGCGGCGCACTTGGAGGTAACAGATTTGCTGAAGACATTATGTATATAAAGAAATTTAATTTAACTCTAATTCAAAAAGAAGCGGGAAGCCTTTGAAATCAAAGAGTTTG